CGTAATGTTATTTAGACCAAATGTATACCTTATACCAAGAAAATTTAGACAATATCGAATTTAGACAAGACGTCACTTAAACTAAAATGGATTAGACAAAATGTTACTGAGCCAGAAGAGAAAATTCATTTGGCGTACCGTCCCGGGTTGCCGTACATATTCTGTAATTATACTGTACAGCTGGCTCTACCCAGTGAAAATTCGGCCCGGGACTTAAAATGAACCGGAGTTTACAATATGGAGTACGGCTCAGACAAGAAAAGTGGCTCGTTGACAGAAATTAAGGGGTTCGCCCTCCTTTCCTCGTTGCGGGTTGAGGTTGATGTGAATAAGAAGAGAACACTGCCCAACAATATCTAATATAATTTTCCTTTGTTCCTTGAACACAAGGTTTCCAACTTTTAAAAATAGAATTCTCATTTTTAGAATCCTTTCAGACCAGGCAATAAAAACCTCAGTTTATACCGTCGGTAAATCACTAGCCAGTATAATCCTGGAAACTGAGATATACTTTTAAAATAGATTTTTCGGCTTTATTGAAATATTTAGAGATTTCACATAAAATAACAAATTACAAAATGCTTAACGGCATTTACAATGAAAAAATGATAATTTATGTTTAATTTCATTGTGCAGCATCTGAATTTTTCCAACAAAAATGAAAAAAGTTTCAAAAGAAACATAAACAAGGCCAAGTTCTGGATTTTAAAAATGTGGTGTGCCTTTTTTATTTCTTCGAAATTTCGCTATGTTTTAAAAAGGCAAATCAAAATCTATCTTTTTTTATTTTTCAAAATTTCACCGGCATTGCTAGTGTTGAATAAAACCATAAAAGGGCAGACCAAAATTTCAAAAGCTGAAAAAACATGCAAAACAGAGATGAGTTTAAACTTCAAGTCAAAACAAAATGTAAGAAATGCCTAAATGTAAGAGTTTAATATAACAAAAAAGTTTCTGTGCATACATTTTGTTAAAAATTGCCTCCCAACCTAAAATACTTTGTTTACAGACACTGTAGCGTATTTTCAAATGATCCTCCATACAAGGATGAAAATGCTAGATTTACAATGGTACCCTAAAAACTATGTCTGATCAAGAGTGAATTAGATATCAAAGTTTATAATTTTAAAACTGATCATTTTCAACTGTGGTTTCTCTTTCAAAGTGACTTGCGCGTTCATTTACTGCAGGAAAAAAATATGAGAATTGTCAGAATTAAATACGTCTAAATCAGAGATAAGAAAGTTTTAAAAATATGCTAAATTAATTAATTTTATGTTTCATGTTAAAAAATGGAGTATTTCTTTAAAAGTTGTAACCCCTGACTTAACCCCTGAATTGGTATTATATGCAACACGTGACCGCTAGATGGCAGTCCAAAAAATTTTAATGGAACTGCAGCATGGCGTGACGGAACACTTCAATCCTGCTTAGCCTGTCCAGGTAGAGCATATGAGCAGTCTGTTCCAAGGGAAACTTCACGAATCAGGCATTGAAATCTTTGCATGGAGGGCCATGCTTACAGTCCCTTTAATATATTTATTTTGTTGGTGAAAATATACGGTATTTCTTTGGTTTTTTTTGTTGGTGAATATATACGGTATTCCTTTGTTTTATTTTGTTGGTGAATATATACGGTATTCCTTTGTTTTATTTTGTTGGTGAATATATACGGTTTTCCTTTGTTTTGTTGGTGAATATATACGGTATTCCTTTGTTTTATTTTGTTGGTGAATATATACGGTATTCCTTTGTTTTATTTTGTTGGTGAATATATACGGTTTTCCTTTGTTTTATTTTATTGGTGAATATGTACGGTTTTCCTTTGTTTTATTTTGTTGGTGAGTATATACGGTTTCCTTTGTTTTATTTTGTTGGTGAATATATACGGTATTCCTTTGTTTTATTTTGTCGGTGAATATATACTGTTTTCCTTTGTTTTATTTTGTTGGTGAATATATACGGTATTCCTTTGTTTTATTTTGTTGGTGAATATATACGGGTTTTCTTTGTTTTATTTTAGTGGTGAATATATAAGGTTTTCCTTTGTTTTATTTTGTTGGTGAATATATACGGTTTTCCTTTGTTTTATTTTGTTGGTGAATACAAACGGTTTTCCTTTGTTTTATTTTGTTGGTAAATATATACGGTTTTCCTTTGTTTTATTTTGTTGGTGAATATATACGGTTTCCTTTGTTTTTAACATTTAAAAAAAAAGATAAAAGTTACATAAAGCATTAAACGCCTGGTCGCAGAATAGTGTGCTTAATGGTTTGGAAACCGTCTTTATTTTTATTTTTTTTATTGTTTTTGTATGTGTATAGTGGTCTTTTGAATTAAATTTTATTTCTACCAAGCTTTCAAACAACATAGATATATACGTAAGCATGGAAAAAAAGACAAGTTGTCAATATTCTAATTTCTAGAATATTCTAATAATCTTGCTATCTATCTAATGTCTAGAATAGTTCCATTCTTTAGCTGTCTATTTAATTTCTAGAATATTTTAGTTCTCATGCTATCTATCTCATTTCTAGGATATTTTAACTCCCTCATGCTATCTTTCTAATTTCTAGAATATTTTAATTCTCTTGATATCTATCTCATTTCTAAAATATTTTAACTCACTTGCTATCTATCTAATTTCTAGAATATTTTAACTCTCTTGCTATCTATATAATTTCTAGAATATTTTAACTCACTTGCTATCTATATAATTTCTAGAATATTTTAACTCTCTTGCTGTCTATCTAAATTTTAGAATACTTGTAACAGTTTGCCGTGTATTTATTTCTAGAATATTTTTCAAAAAATAAAAAGCAAAATAATTTAAAACACAAAAGAATTTGTACAGCAATGGAAATGGAAAAATAATCTGTGTTTTAATCATCAGACATTTATCATATATACTTATATATGATGAATGGAGAAAAATGGTGAATATATGTATTATATAATTTATTCTTTGATGTANACATTTTAGGTTTAAACAAAGTAACAATACAATAATACAAATGCTGGGTGAGTTAGAAACAAAATAAGGAATAACTAGATTAGGAACATCAAATGAGGAACATTGACTATTGAGCCAGATCTAGGAACAAGAAAAAACTAGGAGTTTTATACACTAAGAACATGAGAACAAGAACAATAAATGAAATACATAATCTAAGGAACAATAAAAATCCTGTTAAGGAGCAAATTCATTCATTCATACTTTACATGAACAATAGTCAATAATAGGAACATCATAAAGAAAATTAAGAAAAAAAGATATTACTCGGAAAGCTATATGCATGTAAGTAAGGAACAATATTGCAATTTTGATTAAGTAAGGCCGGAACATTACTTTGCATATGCAAGTTAGATAGAAAAAATATAATATTACACAATACAATACTATAACTTTTTTTAACGATTGTTGAAAATTTTCCGTTAACGCCGTTAATAAAATTGATATATTTAACTAATGGTAATTAAAAAAATAGGAGAAAATGCCGTTAACGGAACGAATGTTTCGTTCTTACCTTTAAAATTAACGGCTTACTGAATTTTTTTTTTTTTTTAATGGATGGTTGGAACTTACCGATAACAAAACGTCTGGAAAAAGTGGGAACGTGCCCAGCCCTAATTGCTAGTAGTTCTGTTTGTGAGCATGGCAGCTCATTAGCTCATTGTACATAGCTATAGCTCGTATGAGACGTAGGGCGGTAAATACAACCGCTGCGTTCCCAATTCAAGGGAGTTTTTTTTCCGTTGAAGACAAATACAAGCCACCCATCGGCTGACATTCAAGCCTGCAACTAGGCTAACGGTTTTGCCTGCAACGTGGAGATAGGAGAACTTGTCAGGTGGAGCCAAGTATACCGGCAGTGCAGTACAGACGAGGAACTCAAGCCGAATGGACACCATAGAATATATTCGCCACGGAAGGCGGAGAAGTCTCTGAAAGATAATTTCTCGTTGAATCATAAGTTGATTCAAACAGTAACACTATTATCATTTATTTCCTAATATGTTTAGTGTAAATATAATGATTTTTAGTCCATCTTGAGTATTTATTCAGAACAGTTAAGTGCTCATTCATAAACAATTCAATATGCATGGAATAGAAATTATTCTGTCCAAAGTGTAACATATTTTACGCTTAAATTTATGTATGCAGTACGGGTAAAAATGTTTTTACGACAGAAAAGAAAAGAAAAAAGAAAATATTTTATTTATAAACGCATTTTTAGCTTGTCGTTCTTTTTTATTTTTCTTCTTTTTTCGCGAATTACTCCCTTTATCAAAGTTGGAAACTTGTTGTAACAAAGGTTTATTATTTCTAATGATTAAAAGAAGGCATTAGAAAGATGCAGGATGCAATTCCTGAGAAGCCTATTTTTTGTATTTTTTTGTTTTAATTAAGTTTAGAAACTTGACTTACCGTGGTAACCAAAAAATAGTGGAATCTTCACAATTTACATTATTAATTGTTTTCTGTCATTACAATCCTTAAAAACATTAAGGATGAAAAAAAAACTTTTTACGGTTATCATGTTTGGTTGGACTAATTATACAGTGGGACCCATAAAACAGTGGAGTAGGAAGACGACTATTGGACTCCAGTTTTGTATTTTATCAGTTCAGTAAACTTGAAACACAGCAATGGTGTAGTTGCACACAGTCACAGTCACTTTCTCTTAAAAAGTTTATTTTCAAACTTTTCGGTTTACAAGAGTTTGTAATACACATAAGATTGCAAAAATGTCAACTTCCTATTCCACAGTTTTATTTTGTTTTATGGATCCTCCTGTATTCCCAAAAAAATAATTTATTAACCAGTTTGAAAATAAAAAAACATTTTGAAAAATAACAAAAATACAATTCCCCTTTATGCATTCAGGCATAATCACTATGCTCTCTCATATTAAATATCTAGTTAAACTTAATCTTGTAATGTACACTTTGAACTAGAAAACATTTTTATAACGGAGTAGATAGACTTGGAGTGCATTGCAAGAAGTTAACTAAGATAACGGAGAAGATAGACTTATTGTACATTGCAAGAAGTTTATTTAAATAAGGAGTAGATAGACTTAGAGTTAATTGCAAGAAGTTTATTAAGATAACGGAGTAGATAGATTTGTTGTACATTGCATGTATTTTTTTATAACAGAGTAGATTGACTTGGACTGAATTGCACACAATTTATTTGATAAAAGAGTAGATAGACTTGGAAAGTTGGAGTGCATTGCACGAAGTTTATTTGTTAACGGAGTAGCTAGACTAGGAGTGAATTGCAAGAAGTTTATTTGTTAACGGAGTAGATAGACTTGCAGTGCATTTCAAGACGTTTATTTGTTAACGGATTAGGCACACTTGGAGCGCATTACAAGACATCAATTTTGATAACGGAGTAGATAGACTTGGAGTGCTCAGCAAGAAGTTTATTTAGATAACGGAGTAGAAAGACTGGAGTGCACTGCAAGAAGGTTATTTTGATAGCAGAGTAGATAGACTTGGAGTGAATGGCATAAAGTTTGTTTTGTTTATGGAGTAGATAAAATTGGAGTACATTGCGAGACGTTTAGTCTAATAACGGAGTAGATAGACTCGGAGTGGACGTTGTGTAATTGTTAAGCTTCTCTCTATGTATATCTACTCCGTGATCAGAATGTTTTCTAGTTCACAGTGTACGTTGTATTCTTGTTTAATTTGACAGAGTTGTGAACTGGAGGCTTTAACACCATAGATTGTTTTAATCCAGAAGCATGCAGCTATCAGGCACATACAAGTTAGTACTATTTCTTTTTCAGGAACAGAACATGAACATACATGCCTCAAACTTTTCTAATTCCTTTATCTTATTTACATTACATAGTTATTCGACATCAGGCCGCAAAGATGTTCAGGAACGGCTTAAAATGTTTTCTAGTGTGTGTGTGTGTGTGGGGGGGGGTATTTATACTTTTAATGCATACATGGTGACATATTTGTTTAATGTTTAATTTTGTTATGCAATAATTATGTTAAGGAAAAATACGGCTCTGTCCTGGGAAGATGGGATCAAAGTAATACGAGAGAAGCAGGTACTCACGACAGACAGATAACAATGTGGCTTTAGTTGTTTTGATTTATTGTGATTTATTTTATTTCTAGGTACAAAGGAATTTATTTTTTAACACAAACTATATTTGAATTAAAATATTTTGGTTACATGATGATGTAAACCTTTCATATTTAAAATTTTGAATACTTCAAATGTCAGAATTTAAAATTATAAATATCACAGAATACCCAATTGATATGGAGATATAACTGAATAAAAAATTGATAGTCTGTTGCAAGAAAAATCTGTTTCTATACATTATGTGAGAATAGAACATGTTTTCTTATAGTATAGTATAACGTGGATTTAACGGTTTTGTTAATATTTCAGAAAGTTGAGACATATGATCAAAATTTGACCGAAAATATAATATTTTAGACTTTCTTGTCGAAATATCATCTTTAATGAAAAAGTATGGAATAAACAAATGAATAAGTTTTAAGATTGTTCAATTATAGATTAAAATAAATTTGATTAAAAATAAAAGAAACCGAATACTTCTCACTCTGGTTAGTCCGGGGTGGTATAAACATTTGCTTTTCTAAAAAACAATGAAAAACGAACGTGTATTCAATTTTTAAATTATTATTTTTATTTACTTTGATTAAACTGATTTAAAAAGATCAACGACAATACATACATACAGAATACAGATATCTTAAATAGCTTTAAGTATAGGAAGGTATAAATGAAGTTAAAATAGTCTTATGGAATTTCGTAATGAAATGAGGAAATTATACTTTAAATTTTGAAAGTTTAACATATTAATAATTTACGCAAATTACTTTGCTTTGCTTATGTACATGTGAAAATAAAAAATGAAATTATTTAAAGGATTTTTAAAAAAGATTAACTTTCTATATTGCGATGAATTTCAGGAATCCGGTTTAATGTTAGCCTACAAATCTTTCTATACAGGTACAGATTTTCATCATTAAAAAATGAAAAAATTTGTCTCCATCTTGTTATTTTTAAACTGGAACTGAAATTAAGAAAACTTTAAATTATATAGAAATAAAATACACAATAATAGATATGTATATTATAAGGGGCATACATCTTCTATTTATAAACTTTGCTTTGTCTGTTTGATTATTTGTTTGTTCCCATCCAAAATACGTTTAAAAGTCCATTTTCTTTGTGGTAGCTTACGTAACACCAGGAAAATTTTATGTACGATTAAATTTACAACAATTTTCCTTAAAAAAGTTGATTTCCTATAATTTTTAAATTTAAACATATTGTTTTTTATGTATTTGGAAATATAATTTTTAACGCATAGTTGACCAATTTAATACACCTTAAAATTCATAAACTGAAAATTTAAAGAGGATTTATTTGATATACCCACAATTCAGAAATTTAAAATTTGATTAAAAGGAGTGACCGGCTATGTAAGGTAGTTGAACTGAGTATACAGTGTTGTGGAAAGCTTCTTTCGGAGTCATTTGAGACATATTAAACTTTTTAAAGATTTGTAAATCCTGAGTTTTAGCAAAATTAGATGTTTAAAATTGCTACTTTGGGGGTGGATACGTTTTAAGAAAAAGTTTTTAAAAAATTATTAAATAAAGACGACATAAAATGTAAAACAGTTATACAATAAACTACAGAAGTCATGTATGAAACATGATGAGAAAATAAAAATTAATCTTATCATTGAAAATAAGTAATCTTGTTCAATTATTAGTTTCTATTATCTCATTATTCTGGTTTCTCATTATTCACAAAGTTTTCGCAGATTTTCTAGAATTATTATAGAAAAGACAACATTTGAAGAATTTAAAGAAATCTGCGAAAAAATTCAAAGAAAATAAGAAATTCAATATAATAATGAAAACGAAATAATCGATTTTAGCATTGATTCATTGATAAATTTTTTGAGGAATATGTTCCTTACCATATAATTAAATTACTATATAATTTTTACTCTATTTTTCGTTGTCTTTATTCAATAATTAAAACAAAACTAATTCTGAAATTACTAAAGTAGTACTTTTAAACGTCGATTTTGCGCTCAAACTCAGGATTTACAGATATTGAAAAAGTTTAATATGTCTCAAATGAATCCGAGAGAAGTTTTCACTGCATATACTCAGTTCAACTACCTTACATCGCCAGTCACTCCCTTTAACCAAACTCCAATTAGTAATAAACCATTTGTAAATACAATGGGTCGGTTAGTAACAACTATTTCCTTCAACTCCTGGTCACTATAGGAACACCTTTCCCGGAGGGGAATCCCTTAAGATCAGCAGCGTTGATCAGGTAGATAAAATAAAATGAAGGAATGCTTGAAAAAAGCGACATAAAAAATTGTATTTAATAATTTAAGGGAGTCTTTGCGAAAAATTTTAAAAGCTGATCACGAATGAAGTTAAATAATGATCGCTCATAATTTCACTTCTATCTATAATTCGATAGTTTATCAAAAACACTGTCCAGATCAAGATGACTCCTGAAGAGCTACGTTACCACCAGATGGCAGTGTTTGAATTTATAGGTATAAAACTAGTTATTACATTAGATAAGATATTTATTGAATATCTAGTCTAACTCATAAACTAATTAACAACCATGCTAACTACACAGGAACTGGAGAAGTAATTGACTGGAAACATAAACGGATGACGGAGCAAGAATTTAAGTAAGAATAAAAAATTTGTAGAAATTAAAGGAAAAATAATTAAAACATTTGACATTTGAGCTTGTTACAATGTGAATTGTAAATGATATTAAATCAAAAGTTAGTTAAAAGCATGACATTTTTATTGTGTGTAGAGAATGGGTAAGCGAGAAAGGAAACAATGATAAAATATCAGAGCTTGCAGTCCTGATGAACCGAAAAATTGGAGCGAGGTAACCCAATACAGGAAATACAATCAAAGACCATTTAAACATGCCTTTAAGGGCAATTATTTGATTACATTTAAAATTATACTTGAATTTTTATGTGAAAACATCAATATACTTCATGCACTGAAAAGAAATCATTTTTAATAAATGAAATTGAAAATCATTAGTATAAAACGTAAGATAAAATACAGGGTGTCCCAAAAAACATGGGAATTCAGTGACGAATTCGATATCTTCTTTGTTATGAATTAGCATTGTGTCACCTAATTTTAAAAGCCATAATATTATTATGTCTGCTAGAGTTTATTTTATGAAAAGGATAAAAGACTGTAAATATGTGTCGATAATGTCTCAGCAAGATGAACAGTGAATACGGACAAGTTTACTCTGTTTGTATACTGTGTTATTACATTAGATAAGATATTTATTGAATATCTAGTCTAACTCATAAACTAATTAACAACCATGCTAACTACACAGGAACTGGAGAAGTAATTAACTGGAAACATAAACGGGAGACGGAGCAAGAATTTAAGTAAGAATAAAAAATTTGTAGAAATTAAAGGAAAAATAATTAAAACATTTGACATTATAGCTTGTTACAATGTGAATTGTAAATGATATTAAATCAAAAGTTAGTTAAAAGCATGACATTTTTATTGTGTGTAGAGAATGGGTAACCGAGAAAGGAAACAATGATAAAATATCAGAGCTTGCAGTCCTGAAGAGAGGGAGGGTGATGAACCGAAAAATTGGAGCGAGGTAACCCAATACAGGAAATAAAGACCATTTAAACATGCCTTTAAGGGCAATTATTTGATAACATTTAAAATTATACTTGAATTTTTTATGGGAAAACATCAATATACTTCATGCACTGAAAAGAAATCATTTTTAATAAATGAAATTGAAAATCATTAGTATAAAACGTAAGATAAAATACTTAAAATTATTGTTTGTAGAGTTTGTTGAAGAATTTGTTTCTTGTAATATATTCACTGCCCGTTGTAAACCAATGACATCTTAACGTTTTATTGTTGGAAAACAAAAAATAGTAAACAATTTAATAAGCATGTTTTAGACATCTCACATTGGTTAAAATTTTATAAGTCTTAGATTTAAAGGAATGACTGGTTGCTAAATTTTAATAAAGCAGTTGTGAATCGAACATACAATATAAAGGAACTAATTAGAAACTTGACACTATCATTCAAATTAATTATATTTAGTAAAAAAATGGTGCAAGTACCATTGAAAACGGGAGAGGCAAGGAAAAGAAGCAACAAATATCAAACTGAGGGATACATAAAGGTAGATAGAGTTACATAAATGATAAAAAAAAAATTTCCGTTTTATAATTATTAAGGAGTTACTAACAGTATCCAAGGTCATACAAAATATATTTCAATTAGTAATTCTTTACTATACATTTTAATACGGCAATAAATCTTTTAATACAAAGAGAACCTTAAAAACAAGCTGTTGACACTAACAGATATGATATTTATGACATACATTATACATATCAGGTATACTGTTTAAGAAATTGTTAATTAGCGGTACAGTCCAAATAAGGACCACAAAGGTAGGCTAGGCTCGGATATTCAAATGAACAGCGTTTGTTTGTGGGTTATCATATTCATTTCATGCGTTATACCAATGAAAACATTTTACCAACTACGGGGAAGTAAATCTACTTGAATTCCAATTTCTATAATCGTATTTAAAGAGAAAAACTTATAGCTATATACATTTTATTAATTTTCCTTCAGGTTTTCAATCCTTCCCTCCACACTGATATGCTGACCCCTATCTTTATCCCTCCCATCCATACTTCATCTTCTCCACCAGCAAACCCAGCAACTATAAGTAGTAAGTAATAAAGTACTAAAATAAAGATTTTTGTATTTTTAATTAATAAATAGAAATTTTACACCAACATAAATTTCAATTATTCTTTTTAGATGCGGATACGTTGAGATATCATGGGAGTACTCTATAACTGTACACATAATTTGTTAAATAAAAAGACGATAGTTACACGAGTTCGACCCTCAGACAGGAGCAACGAGACTTCTCTCAGGGTCGGAGAAGCCCCTGGAAGTCCAAGATGAATGGGGTAAAGATACCAACAAGGTTTTTCAATTAAAACGCACCGAGGAAGTCAAATATCCCTGTGATCCTGTGATACAACCAATGTTTTCCCAAAGTTCAGTCAGAAATAGTATTCTCCGTCAGTCTATTAGAAAGAAACAATTTTTTAAATCCATGATATCTGATAGATTAGATCTAGACCTGGACGGGAAAAATCTCTTCTCCTTGAGCAGGTTCAGCTTGTAAAGATACCAGCAAGGTTTTTCAATTAAAACGCACCGAGGAAGTCAAATATCCTTGTGATCCTGTGATACAATTCTCCGCCAGTCTATTAGAAAGAAACAATTTTTTAAATCCATGATATCTGATAGATTAGATCTAGACCTGAACGGGGAAAATCTCTTCTCCTTGAGCAGGTTCAGCTTGTCAGATCAGATAATAAGTGAGAGCGTAGAGGACTCCGAGGAGGGTGGAAGTAGTGACCTGGAGAACCAAAGTGAAGGAGATTTAAATTGTTCACCCTCCAGAGTATCATCCCTATCTTGCTACTCTCTAGATAGTCTAGAGCAGCGGAATATAAACAGCTTCTTTACGTGAAGCTCTAAACTGGATCAAAATTGTCATAAATAAAGTATATAAACATTTATTCTATTCTAGATAAAATAAAAGTTTCCATTTGTAATCTTAATTGTTCATCTGAATTAGTGGATGAGAGTTACAAACAGTCTGGTATAGATAAATATAAGATGCTTCTAGAATATTCTCAGTTTGCATAATTAGTCTTGACACTTTAGAATTCTAATGATCTGAACCTTCTTTATCTAATTAGGTTGGAGGGTTAAAGGCAAATAAGCGAGAATAGCTTAGTTGGTTTGTAAGGTTAGTTAGTTTAGTTAGAATAGATGAGAAAGCTTTGCAAGGTTAGCTAGTTCAGTAAGAAAGATTTTTTGGGGCTTTTTATTGTTAAATGTTAGCAAGTTTAGTTTGAATATTGAGGCTGGCTATTTATTTGCTAGTTTAGTAGGAATAGATTTTTGGTTGGTAAGAAGGATTTTGGAAAGTCAGCACGTTTGGTTTAGAGGGTTAGATTGATTATGTAAGGTTAGTGAGTTTAGTTAGAATAGATTTGTGCGCTATTTATTTCCTCTGTTTTATTTATTTATTCACTAATTTAGTTTGATTACATTTATTTATTTAGAAATAATTACTGGCCGCTAATGTTGAAATTGGAAAATGTTGTTGAGCTCTATTCTTGCTACTACCTACTAATGTTGAAAGTCGAAAATGTTGTTAGCTTTATTCTTACTACAAGCCGCCAATGTTGAAAGTGGAAAATGTTGTCGAGCTGTATTCTTGCTATTAGCTACTAATGATGTAAGTGGAAAATTTGTTGAACTTTATTCTTGCTACTAGCCGCTAATGTTGAGAGTGGAAAATGTTGTTGAGTTTTATCTTGCTAATAGCTACAAATGTTGAGAGTGGAAAATGTTGTTGACCTATATTATTGCTACTAGCTACAAATGTTGAAAGTGGAAAATGTTGCTGAGTTTTATTTTAACTACTAGCTGCTAATGTTGAAATTGAAAAATGTTGTTGCTAATGTTGAAATTAAGAAATGTTGTTGAGCTTTATTATTGATACTAGCCGCTAACGTTGAAGAGGAAAATGTTGTTAAGCTATATTCTTGCTACTTGCTACTAATGTTGAAAGTGGAAAATGTTGATATATATAAAAACGATATCTTTATAATTTGCCCAGATAAAGGATTAAAAATTGTACTATTGTGAATCCAGAATGTAACTAATTTAATCATGGGTCACTTTAAAACCGTCGTAACTACCTTTAAAAAAGAGTATTTATCTTAAAATCGTTAATATAACTTGACCAAACCAGCGGAGAGAGGTGAGCAAAAGATTCAACTGAACATAAAGAAAGCTAACAACTGGATTAAAACTCCTATTTCAAATTTTTCTTCTACATTTCTACCGTAAAACCCTGATCTAATTCAATTTAACAATGAATCTGAACAATTGCAAAAAACAATAAAATTCAAATATATTTTTTCTCAAATTCATTTGTATCCAGATGAGATAAACAATCAAACCCAACCTATATAAAAAAAAATAACATTCGTATCCATCCTCAACATTTGTATCCAGATGAGATAAACAATCAAACCAAACCTATATCAAATTCATAACATTCTTATCCATCCTTAACATTTGTATCCTAATGAGATAAACAATCAAACCCAACCTATATCAAATTCATAACATTCGTATCCATCCTTTACAACATTCATACCAAGCCTATCATTACATTCGTATCCAAGTATCCAGATCAGATAAACAATCAAACCCAACCTATATCAAATTCATAACATTCGTATCCATCCTTAAATTTTGTATCCAGGAGATAAACAATGAAACCCAACCTATATCAAATTCATAACATTCGTATCCATCCTTAAAGTATCAAGATAAAATTTTTTTTTGTAAAAAAGTTGAAGAAATATAACTTAAAACTTAAAAAGTGAAAAACGTATCTATTTTAGCCCGAAAATGATAAAAACTCACACTCGTATCAAAAGCTGTCATAACAGCTGTCAGTCTCTAAGAAATATTACTAAACTAAAAAAGTGAAAAAAGTACCTATTTTAGCCCTAAAAATGATTAAAACTCACACTCGTATCAAAAACAGCTGTCAGTCTCTACGCAGGCATCCCACCGAAATAATTTATTTTATATCTACAAAATTCCTCCCCCCCCTACTCATACCTTTTAAATGACCGCGGCATTCACGAAGTGAAGCTTTCCCACCCTCTCCTCTCCCATGTTTGGACTTCAGCCCCAGCCTAAATATTTTTGTTAAAAATAAAAATTCTGTTTGGTTTGGCAACTTTTTTCTGCAGAATCTTTCCTACTCTCTGAAAGGTTTCACATCGATATGTTTAAGGATATCTACTCGATATAAAGCAATATTTATTAATACTTATTTTAACTCTAACTCTGAAATTAATGAATATAGAAAACATATGCCGGTTTTAGAAAGTTTAGATAGTTATTTGCAATCATCCAGAACAAAAAGTTTTATCAAAATTAAACTTTTTTAGGTTTATGGGACGTTTTCAAAAAAAAGCAAAAAAAATCATTTCTGACACCCCTAGGCTCAGTACGTCAATATGATTCACCAAATCCATACTGCAGTCCTTCAATTATCATACAGGGAAATCTTCATCTTTCTAAACATCCCAGCTGGAAAGATTTGACAGGTTCTTCATATTTTTTTTTGTAATCAAATGGTTAAAAAATTCAGTGAACCTTTTTTTTCTCGCAAAATCAAAGGTTCAGAAAAGCAAAAATGTGTATATATATTTTTTCTATCAAATTCTAGAATTTTATTAAGATTGAATCACAGAATTTTGCAAAATTGTAATAAAAAATTCGTAATTTTCAGTTCTGGTCTATTTTTTTTATGAGAATTTCTTTAAATCCTCCAGTTCAAAAAACTAACAAATAACGCTACTTGAAATATCAAAGATAAAAACTACAGTGAGACCCTTAAAACTGTGGAATATTAAGACGACAGCAATTATCTGCATATTTAATGAATTGTTATAAAGCAAATGGTTTTACAAAAACCTTAAAAATCAGTTGTTATGTGAAATGGGTCTGTGCACACTTCACAATTAGTCTAAAAGTTGTCTTCCTGTTCCACAGTTTTGTGGTTCTCACTGTAACATTTTTTAAAAATATTGATGAAACAATGTATCACTGATTCCACAGAAAGGACTAAATATGTGTACTAATTTGTTTAAACCTTTCACAGTACGTACAATATATTGCTTGATACACGAAAAAGAGTTTAAATGAGCATGTATCAATATAAAAAAAAAACATATACAAAAGTGTATGACCTTTAAGTAAATTATACCATTTGTCTTATCTGTGTAATTTCTACAGCTAATAAAAAAAATATTTGATAAATATAAAAAAATACTGAATTCATACAGGATGTCCCAATAAACATGGGAATTCAGTGACGAATTCTGCTATGTTTACAATTTGTTTGTTTATGTTTTGACCATGCATACGGTTGTACTTCGTAAAACAAACAAATTACAGTAAACTAACAGAGTAAACTTGTCCGTCTTCACTGTTCATCTTGCAGAGACATATAGACAAATCTTTATAACAGTCATTTACCGTTTTCACTAAATAAACTCTAGCAGACATAATAATATTATGGTTTTAGAAATTAGGAATTACACTGCTAATTCATAACAGAGAGGATATCAAATATTCGTCACTGAATTCCCATGTTTATTGGGACACTCTGTATACGTTCATTGAACGATATACGTTCTATACATTTTTAAATAACTTTTTCCAACTTATGTTTTTTTAAGGATTAAAAATACAATTCCCAGAAAAGACGACATTAAAGCAATATTGTATCAAGTGTATTTGATGTTATAACAACACAATTGGCCTTACATTCAGTAGCCTAAAATAAAAAAGTGAAATGATCAGTGCACACTGTACCATTGTTGTGTTTTATGTTCATCGAACTAAAGTCAAAACTTGAGTCTAAAAGTCGTCTTTCTATAATTTCACAGTTTTCTGGGTCTCACTGTAAAAATGAAGGGACACATGTATGTATATGTATCAAACCATGATACGAATACACTTAAGTTTTTAATCAAAAAGCGTTTACAAAAGTTCATGACTTCATAGAAAAGAATACTTTATTGTCTTATTTGTGTAATCTGTAAAACATTTTAAAAACACATAGTATAAAGATTTTTAAAAAATTGAAGATTGTATAACATTCAGCAAAATATATACAATCAAGGGGATTCCTGAAGCTGTAAATTATGTGTTTCTTTCTTTGCCAGATTTTAATTCTAGCTGAAGTGCAATATTAAGCAATTAAAAAAACGAAATTTGAAGAAAACTTAAATTTCAAATTACTTGTTTACTTGTTTACTTGAAGAGGAACTTCTAAAGGACCATCTTGATCCAAGGAAGAAGTGTCAGCTTTACTGATGACCCATAGCATTTCCGAAAACAGATGTTTGATAGATGACTTCATCAGGGTAGGGGCACTTGGCTCAAATACATGTTTTTAAAATATTTGACATTTCTTGCATTTTTGATGTTTTCAGGTAGTGCATTCCACTGCTGAACTATTCTATTGGAGAAGAAGTGTTTTCTTATATCCAAATTGGGTCTGGAAGCTACTATACAAAGGGACTGTTCACTTGTTCTGGTTACTCTCCTTTCAGTGTCACCATACAACTCAAACCAAATCTTTCTGTCCACATCATCTATTCCATGTATGATTTTGTAGGTTTGTACAAGATCGGTGTATGTTCTTCTCTCCTCCAGTGTAGTCAGACCAAGTTCTTTTACCCTTGTTAGATAATCGGTTTCTTGTGAAAACAAATTAAAAAATCTATTTTTTTAGCCGATGTTCCTCCCGGGATACCCATGGGTTCCCTCTAAAATAATTAACCTATTTGGTGCGTTTCAATAAATTGAGATTTTTAAAGTTTTTGAAAAAATTGGAAACGGATCAAAAATATCAGGAAATGGACCTAAAATTTGAGGAAACCGATCAGCAAAATTAGATTTATTAAGTTTTTGAAAAATGCGGAAACAGATCAAAAATATGAGGAAACGGACC